AATTAAACTGTATTAACGTGTTCACGGAAGCCAAGTTCAGGTGAATGCTGCCGAGAGTCGCCTTGAGCTCGGAGCAACTGGATCAGTGGAGGCATTTACTACCACAACAAACGTCCTCATTTGTCTTACATTTGTTCCGGGATGCATAATTTTGGAAGCCGCTATGTGTATAAGTTGAAGTGTTTGCAATTTCGCCAATGAGATGCACTTCTGAATTGGAAATATCCACATGCATCAGTGGGGACGAAGTTCATTACGTAGTGCAGGATACCAGGCCAACTCGACGCTAACTGTCCACTCCAATTGTCATTAAAAGTAACAGTAAAATCAGAATGCCTAGGATTTCGTGAGGGCAAAATAATTTTTGTGGCACTTTACAGGTGTTTCATAAAATTATTCCCTTTCAATTTTTGAATCCTTAGTACTTCAAGCACTACTATTCAACGATTGTGCACAAAATGGATGCTTGGGAAACAACTGCAAGTAAGGAGTGATCAAAACGCTCGCAACCCACAAGTTTAGTCTTTTATGTAGGATTAATGAATGAATCAAAAACAAAACCATTTGCAAGCTGACCGTGTTAGTGAGAAGCTTAAGTTCTTGGCCATGCGTCTGGTGTTTACTGAAAGTTGTTTGAGGAAAAGTAGCCCCACTGAAAGACTGGCTCATTAGTTTACATTAATTTGGCTGGTCAATCCAATTGGTCTTGCTGATTGCCATTTGGCAGTGGCTTGAAACTGTCACTTCTGCCGAGTTGTTCGACATGGCACCAGAGTAATTTTCTCACAGTGCATTTCATTATCTACTATTATTTGAAATTGCTGATTGTCATTTCTTCTGTCTACCTTTGTGCACAGACGGCAATTATTCGCCAAGCAGAACCGATGGTGGAGTTTAGGGGGCTCTGATGTGGCATTTAGTTTATCAGCCCACGAGTGCGTACAAAGCCAAGGTAAAGCAATTTACCGTGTGCCCGACCAATCCTCATCAATCCAAAGCCGTGGCAATGTTCTCAGCTTGCATTCTTTAAACGTGACGTACAATCAGATCGTCTGTCAGTTTACATGAGATGTTGAAGGAACAGACGATGCAGTTGTGCGATTCCTCTTACAACCTACACAGCCCTTTTAAACCGATTGCTGCGAGTGATATACCAAATTATGCATGTGACATTAAAAATTAATTTACTTTTTAAGGCGTGGTAGTTGGTACGATTTGAACAAAACATGCATGGATATTTAATTTACTTATTTCACTTAATTTGACCTATTTTAAGTCAAGTTGCATTTGTTTGACATCTTTTTTCGCAAAGAGTTGTTTCACCTCAACGACCCAAAACCGCGTGTGACCACGACCGCTGGATGAGGAAGGAGGGAGCGGAGTCGATCGGGATTTCTCTCCTGTTCACTCTGGCTGTTCGGCAAGCGACAAGGCATAAGTAATGCCTCCTATTAGTCAAAGCAAGTGCTCCTTACTAATAAGATGCTGAAATTTTCTCACTTATCTCTTGCTTTATCTATTTCGAGATTTTGAATGCTTTTAGAAGTGAGTCTCGTCCCCTTTGATGCAAGCTTTCATGGGCCGACGAATGAAGACTGATGTGAACTCGGCTTTAATTAAAAGAATTGCATTTTCAAATATCTAAAAATAACATATCTAGGACCTCGGGCATTCAGAGCCAGATGTCTCACCACGTCGGTCATCAGGGCAAGCCTCCTTTTTTACTCTTCCCCTCTTTTTCTCCACATACAAAGTCTTTACACGGTCTAATTTTATCAGCATTCCTTGTAAGCAAATTGTTTCTTAAGCTTTTGACAATCACTTACTAAATCATGCCTAAGGGGGGTGGTTTCACCTTCATGAAGCTTTTAATTACGTATCCTTAATTGTAATTGAGGTATAAATGTGGTTAATCTCCTAAATTACCACAACTATTTGAATTGATGAAAGAAAGGACTCATCAAATACTGTTTTATAGTTAATCTGAGGGTTTATTGAGGACAGTGCCACAGCGGCGCAATTGTCGGTCCTTCTTCTTCCTCTTCTCCCCCTGAACGAAGCAAAATGTTGGCAGTGGGTACATGAATAAAGGACTGTGAAGGTGCACGGCATTCGATTAGCCCATCCTCCAAACAAAGGAGGACAAACAAGAAACGGCAATCATTCTCTCAGAGTGAAAAGCAGTTGCGTTAGCAATGGGGTAGTAACAGCTTTCGTGCTTGCATTATTTCCAGACAATGAATGTACCGTTTAGTAAAAAAACGGTTTAGGTTATTCCAATTGTTTTCATTCTTTGAAAATTTCACCCCATCATATAAACTTGGCTAAAGCTCTTACAAGTTATGTGCAAAATTTTCGCCTCTTCTCCTTCCTCCCTTGTCTCCTTCTACCTGGGAAATACTTTCTTTCCAGTTAATAAGTGTTATTTTGTCGTACGGAGTACGGACACCTCATTCTTATCTTTTCCGTATCTCGTGCGCTCTTTGTTCCTTCACAAAAGCACCAGGTCCGAGCAAAGAGAGAAGACTGTGGAGAACTCAAAAAAATGTCCTGATAAAATTGGAAAAAACTCTACTTTGGCTTATGAGCTGCAAAAATAACTAAAAACAAAAACACTTCACCGATTTCTTGCGAAACCATTGCCTCAGATATCTGTAATTATTTTACCTTTGTAAAGAAGTGCAGGTGATAGAAAATGCTTCATCTAAGCTAAACTTTTACTTTATTTATTAGGGTGGACGTATGAAAAATGGTTCCTGTAATTTTGACGCCAGTTGATGAGGCTTGTCATATTTTTTTGGGTAATCAATGTTGACAGTTGAATGCATTGGGCTTCCATGGAGGAGGTGGATCAACTAATTAGACTGTCTTCAAATCCTCCCTTCTGACTCCAACTACCGAGAGTTATTGAGAGTCAAATTGTCATTTTACTGGTCCGAGGAGAAAGTTCAATTTAGTGCTTTTCAATGAAACATTACATGCAAAATAGGGTATTGGCTGGATAACAAAGTGACCGTCAAGACAAAATCTTTCAAAAAATTAAATTTTTGACGGTATATCTCCAAAATGAAATTGCCCTTTCCATTTGCAAAGCAACTGTACCATTTGAATTTCACCAAACATGTTGACCTTTTAGGAAACTTTTAAATTGCTTTGCATTAAATGTGTGTCCCTTCTAACAAAGGAGACATGCATTTTATTCAATGAAACCTCATCACTTTTGATAAAGGGCCACTGATGAAGTAGGACTCTGAGTGACACTGATAACCTTAAGCCCTCCCGTACGCCCGAGTATTATGCCTTCTTTGGTCATCGGGGAGGTAGTACGGCTCCACATTAACGATAGCGCAGTGCAACTTCTACATAAAAAAACAATCATCCTCATTTTTAATGGTGGAAGGGAAAGCTTTGAGAGTTACATGCTAGGAATGTAAAATAGGTAACAAGCTCAAACAGAGGGACTAAAAACGCTCCGGCCTCATGATCTGCTGATAACTGGCTTCCAATGTGAGAAGTAATAAACTTGAGGCAGCTAAAAAGTTACCTGAGGCTGGGACAGATTGGAGTGGATAAACCTGAAGTGGGAACAATGTCACAGTGAGAGACAGACCGTATTAAATCCAGCCATCTGTGCCATGAATTTGCGCACAGACCATAAATCACTTGTGGACGCAATAGAGTGGTCTGCACAGCACCCTACTTCTGAGACTGCTTTCTGTGGAGATTCAGTTAGACCATCAAGGGGATCGAGTGACGCTGTGGTCAAGCATCTCCTCAGTTGTACGTGGATGGAAAAACTGAGGCAGTGAGTGCGTTGCAACACCTAAAGCAGAAGACTAGTTAGAAAGCTTAATCGAACGAAAGACCTGAGCTATATCTCAAATAGTTAAATTCCAGCCTTTATTAGGCACATAATAACTTGACCATACCAGGAACCCACTTCCTCCCCTCCATCCACAACTTACAGTCTACCCATATATCATAACACTTGCTGACCACCAATGCCAAAATCACCCTCCTTAGTAAGTTGGAGAAACAGCATCGACCTCTACTCATCCGCTTCGGAAGGGGCACTCAACCCATATCCCGATGTTAGGAAACTTACCACTGCCCCCATTTACTTAAACAAAATAGTTGCCATACTGTACGACTGTTCACAACTTTTTTATAATACCCTGTAAATTGCAGCACTCTCCCTTATTCCCTAAATGGTGCAACTTTTACTGCATCAGAGTCACTAATCAGTTTGATTTATCAACCTGCACAATTGCCAGGCGTAAAAACGACTAATGCTGCAACTTTCGTTAATAATTATAATACTACTAATAATAATGCACTCCGACTAAATACGACGATAGTGACCGGAATATTCCCCCCACTCCACGTGTTAACAGGTAGCATTTCGTAAAGAGCTTAACAGTGTTGATGGCTGTTTATAAACGCTTTCAGAAGTAAGCAATTATTGCTTAGCCAATGGTTCATCACAAGTGCATTTTAAAAAATGCCAATTTTGCTTCGGTTTAATCTTCTCTTGCAGAGGACGACACATTTACTACTAAATGGTTAAAATCGGTGAAAGAACTGAAGTGAAGTGAAAGCATGGTCATGCAAAGGAGGAGGTGGTGGACGAGGCGGTGGAGGAGGAGGAGAAGTGTTGGAGGTAGTGACGAAGAGGACTTGGCTGGAGCTTTTTTGTCACTACAACGCAGCGCGTGCGCAACATCGCCCTGGCTCATGCGCGCGTGCACCATGTGAACGGGACTGGTCCACTCGCCCTCGCCCATGCTGCGATTGGCTCCGTCTCTCTCGTGGCCTCTACGTCTCGCGGGATAAAATGAGGCCTACGACCAGACCCCAGGGACACTACTAATCGGGTTCAATTAATGCTCTTATAGCCACACACACCTGCTCACACGAAACACCCGCATACAAACGGAGACACTAGAGACGCCACCGGGTGACAATGGCGAGCGAAACAACGTGCTAAGGTGCCAGTCAATATGGCGGAGGTGAGAATCACTACAGCTCCCGAGTGGATGCTGTCTTCAGCAGCTGCGATGGACGAAAACAGGACGATCGCAGTGTTTGAAGTTGCCTACTCCTGGGCTCATGTCTACATTGTGTCAATGTTTCTTGGATTCCTTATTATCTGCATTACCTGTGGAAATGCCCTTGTCGTGCTAGCAGTTTTAACCGAACGGCATCTCAGAGTACGTTCTTAATTCCCATTGGAATTGATAGTTACTATGGTAAAATGAATCCAACATTTCTATTATTACACATGCATATGTGCAGAAGAAGACTACACAAACGATTCAATTTATTCTTTTCCCCACGACAACTTGAAAGACTGTGTTGTGGAAAATGAAACAACCTCTTCACGTATTTGAGCAGCAAAAGGATTAGTGAAAGTGAGGTGATTTTGTCCAAATGTATTTCACTAAATCCTGCAGACTAAAAAGCAAACTCAGCAGCATTTTCTTTTTACCAGTGGTTTAGCAAAGTGAATTCGACGTTAATGGAGGCAGGGAATGGAAAGGGCTGAGTGTATGACTGCCTATGAAAAGTACGCTTTAACAGACAATAATTCGTTACTGGAGTGAGGAGACTCCTCTGTGCTTTAGCAGATAATCATCAACTATTCAAAGCATGACAAGCTCCGGCTAAAAATAGTCACCTTGCTAAAAAGGGTTTGAATGTGTTTTTTAAGTAGTTGATGACTAGACTCAGGCTCCAGCAAATAGGTTGTTAATTTTTTTACGTCATAATTCGCGTTTGCCTTCTAAACATCATGCACTTGCTGCCATGTTATTTTTCCAAGCATTCATTTGCAATGACACGGCGTTTTTAAGGCGAATCAGTCATGTACACCTAAAGTGCTTAAAAATACTGCAGGCGCTGCAAAATTTGTGGTATATTTTAATTGAGATGTTGCGTGAGAAAACTCGTATAAAGAAACTGCAGGAATGATTAATGCAGTATTTGCAACCTACCCCCAAAAGTTACGTCATTAAAAGTATTTTTGCTTCTTGTTTGCCTTTCCACCTACCATTTCTTTTTTGTGAATGCAAAGTACATTAATTGGAGGTGGGAAGTTTGCTTAAAAGAGGGTCACCAAAAGTAAATGAAACGCTTGCCACCCAGAGTTGACAGCCTCAATCACTCAGACCTTTGCATTTCCCCAGCTCCTCCCACTACACCTTTCTAATATACCCCTCAACTGTGGTCGGATTGAGGTCTGAGCTTGGACATATTGATGTAAACTACCATCTCGACTAATAACCCCCCACACCGTGGCCCCATCTAACGAGGCGGTTTGGGTTTTCAAGGTCACTTCAGCCCACTATTACACTGGTAAAAGAGGTACTTGTCACTATTTTACAAGTACTTGACAATGAAATGTTGATTAAAAGATGGTACCGTGTAGCGACAATGGGGTACAAGCAAAGTAGAGGAGTGAAAATAGGTAGAAAATAATTGTCATTTGGGCGATTACATTTATTGCAAACTGTGAAATTTTTGTACTTCATTTAGAATGTCTACTAGTGAGAGTTTCCCTCTCATTTCTGGAAATTGCCGAACATTTCAAAGGGAACAGCCACCTTGATAACGGATGTAAATATGGTGCAAAAGAGTTAAACTGATGGTACTTTGAGAAGGTTGCGGATGTACACATGAAAGAATTGCGTACCCGATTCTCACCCAAAGTTTTCACCTCCATTTGGACGTAGGATTTGATGTTAAACCTCAGAGTCACTTTAAATACCTCATCGAGATTCCCAGGTTCTTGTTTAAACAGCACTTGGGTTCAAAATTCAATAAAACGCTAACAGTGGTGTGAAAAAAAGTGGCGTAAACATGATACGCTAGGTTTGCTTTGTACAGCCCTGTTAGGACACTGTTGACGGGCAGTTCAGGGGTCTATCTCTTCTTCAGGGGATCGGAAAAGGTGCCATGGCAAAAAATTTCTTTCATGCAAATAGATTATTTTTGCGATCTTCTTCTGTCACGTTTCTATGGTGACAAAAAACAGTGTATTAAACAATATTTAACGAGAACAGCTTGAATAGGATAAAAAGTTCTTTTTGATATGGAGGTTTAACGTCCAGAGTTGATCCCCATGAAGTGTGCCAGAATGGCTCAGATACAAGAAGCCACATAGTGTAGCACTTAAACTTTGCTTGAGACTCACTCTACCTTCTCAGGAGTCCGATGATTAGGAAGTCGTTAATTACTTAAAGAACATGTTTAGCAAGACATTTTGTTACAAATGAATGAAAAAAGTTGGCGTCTTTGTAAAGAAAAATGGAGTGACTTTACGTTCATTGTTACAAAACTCACCAACATTTTGCATTCGATTGTTGATTGACGAGAAGACAATCGCTCGTGCAGTGAAGCATGGATTCTCTGGGCAGATCTGGTCTGAACTCCAGTCTCACTGGATTGTGAAGTTATGGGACGAGAATAAGTCCCTGCACATCTTGACGGAGTGTAATAACCCCACTTTTGATAAAATTCAAGTGTGCAACTATGGACACAGTCTTCCAGGTAAACAGCACGTCACTGAACACCAACAAAGGTCAAGGGATTAAGAAATTACTAGAAATTTGATTATTTCTTAATTAACGGGAAAAATTAGTTTGGGATGAGAAAAGTATGAAGATGATCGGAACAGTATCAAGAAAATTAGTGATCTCCTATAATATTAAAAATGGTTAAACCAAAGTAAGATGTTAGCAATACTATGCATGATTATGTGGTACGCCAACTGTATTTTAGGTCGTATCAAACTATCTTATTCTCAGTTTGGCGATGGCTGATCTTCTCGTTGCGGTCGTTGTAATGCCTCTGAGCCTAGTGCATGAGGTCTCCAAGGTGTGGTGGCTTGGTGAGTTCATTGCATGTACTTTAATTCCCACAACTCGGCTGCTGCCATCCGATCAGTCGAACCTGGAAATTGTTGAGGAAGGCCACAATTTTCCAAAGTGGTTATTGTGGATCTATCCACCAGCGAAACACTTTCGTCTTGATTTAGCACTAAAAGGGTAAAGAAATACATTTTTTGGCCATACTAGATTGGCAGGCAAGTTTAGGTTTTGCCTGGACGCAAACATGCCATTTTGGTTGTGGAATTTGCCTCCATTACATTGTTTGATAATTAATTTGCGTGTAATCAAAGAAATGATAAGCCGATTATCGGATTTACTAACTAGAATTGCTGCAAAAATTAATATTTTCTCCTTAATCTTTTGGACACTTGAGTAGGCTTGATTCAAATAAAACTTTTAGGGTGTTTATGGTTATCACATCCTCCCAGGAATCGTAAATACTGGTGAGAGTTGGAAAAATCATCACCCAACTTTTCCCTTTCGATGGCCAGTGACATGAAAGCCGAGGCCGCGCAAGCAGTTCCTATATGTTAGTCAACTGTACAAGCTAGGTACATATGCAAACAAGTTTCTCCTGATGTTTTCCTTTGCCGTAGACTTATCTTCTCATAAAGGTGTCTTGAGGTGAAAAGTACTAGAAAGTGTGGGACTTGTAGTTTTGTCATCTATAGGGATGGGCTTCCATTATAGTCAAAAATATTAAACTAGTAAAGTATTATAGCCTTTTTTTTTCGATGCCCTAAAAGCATGCTACAAGCAATTAAGCGGCTTTGAATTCCTGACGTTTCCAACTGATGACTGGCCTGGTCGCAAAGCCGGAAAATCCTTCGGCCAGTGTTCATTGCTGTTAACGTAGTCTAGCAGGATCCCTCCAAAATTCATCAGCAAAGGCGTTAACTCCCTATCCAGTAAAAGCAATTATTCACTTAAACACTTCCAGGTGTAGGCCATTGCATGGGACCGGTAACATATCATGCGATACCTCGACCGATGCTGGCAAAGTGGAAGTGGACGCAAAATTACCCCCAACTTCAGTGATGTCACCGAAAAGAGAAGTTGAGAGCGTTGCATGCGCATGTTAATGTGGAGTCGGTTTGCGATACTGCAAAGGAGTCGAAACACGCAGGATGGAAATGAAGCTGCGTTGGCAGCTCTCAGTGAAACAGCAAGGCAAAAACAAAGATCAACTATTTTACTGATACCGAGATCAACAATTTTTGCAGTAATTTGTCAGAATGAACTAATACTCAGACTGTAGCCTCCTCATTTAAATTAGAATGCAGCTTATTTTGAGCATCCAGTGTGGAAAAATGAGACGTTCCTACTCCGTGAATGCAGTTATGCCTAGGAGGGCTGCCAGTCGATTCTTCGAAATGGAGCACGCATGTTATTACTAATCCAATGTTGTTTATTCATTGCCATAATAGGGTACTCAGCGAGGATAACCACACAACATTCTTGGACGGCTTCTGCCTAGCAAGAAGCAAATTAAAGTAAAGATGTCCATTAGACTGGATACCACTTTTGATTAACTGCCTCCGTTCAATTACTTAACGAAAGAAATCACAACAAACAAAGTGTGTGAAGTGTTTTCTACATTTGGTAAAATAAACCTTTCTGTAGAGGTTTGCAAGGATCCAAGCGCAGGCGAGCCACTTTACTTTGTGCAACCAGACAAAGGAAATGTTGTAGAAAATATGCTTAAGCTGTGGGCAACGTTGGGCCGCCAAGGCTGGCAATTGAGTTCTCATTGACATAATTGAAAAATTCAAGAAATGCGCCCTCATCTCCCAAAAACGGCCATCTATGTGCAACATTTGAACCAGTGAGCACCATGAGGCGTCGCTCCCTGTTTCATGAAGTTTCTGAATAGCTGCTAACGTTCGTTAAATTGAATATCCAAAGACATTGTTTGGTGCATCCACAACCTTCACCCGAAAACCCTGCGATTTAGCTGGATTGAGACAATGGTGCTCATTAAGCACTTTAAAATTATTAAACTTAAAATTTTTAACACAAGACTAATTACTCTACCGCCATCGCGAAATAAATCCTTTCAAGAGAGTGAGAAGTTCCTACTTGAAGTTTGCGAATGGAGTAGGGAAATGCCCAACTCGCAAATGCAAATTTTTGTGCCTCTTCTAAATTCACCTTTAGGTCTTTTCTGCGAGCAATAAGCTGTCAAATTAATAAATTAATCACAATTGCGGTTTATTGTCACCTCAATTTTCATTTGGGAAAGACAGTGATCAGGTTGACAGCCTCATTGCGGGGGCTTTAAAATCCCTTTGTCCACCCCACTAACCCAAATAATCGACACATTTCCAACTTGGCATTCTTGAAGCGCGACAACGCGTGTCTCTAGTCCTTTTCCCAGTTGAACCTTCCACGTTACTTTCAGCATTGAAACCAACTTAGTTGAATGCTCGAGCCCACAGCTCTAACGTAGTCAAGAGAAGCAACAGGCAGGAGTTAAAATTAGTTGGCCGTATGAATTAAATGCTTATATTAAGTAAAATGCATTTGCTTCCATCGGAACTCTCTGTCGTATAAAGTTGTCCTCCTTTCGAAATAGACTTGTGTGGCTGAGGAATGGCCGTAGCAAATCTTGGTTAACGTAGGCTCATTGCCGTTATAAGGCACAAATTTGCCGAGTTCGACAAGCATTTGCACATCTGTCCATTTGTATTTTGCATCTACGCCTCCCTAAAAGCTTCTCGTCAAGTTTTTCTTAATATTCTCCTCCAAACCAACACCACCAGAACTTCCATCTCGCAGTGACAAAAAGTGCTCAAGTTACGTAAAAATTTGGGTACACTTCAGAGATGTGATGATGGAAATCATCCCTATCGTCGTGATGCTTCATTTACTATCTTGCCCTATAGTAGAAATACGAATGAATGTAGGATTCTAGCTAATAATCTCTGACCACTTTCAAATCTCCTGTAGTCAAAATTTTATCTTTCTTTTCAGCTTAATGTCTGCACCATTATGTTGTGGTAAAATTATGGCAGAAAGTTTAGGAAAGGGGTTAATGATTGAGATTTTCCAGCAATCAAGTGCTACCTCTGGTGAAAATGAAGAGTCGAATTTCGCTCATTTGATCATGTAGGACTGCCCCTTTGCGATTTGTGGATATGCGCGGACGTGCTTCTGTGCACAGTTTCCACCCTTCACCTGTGCGCCATAGCAATTGAGCGCTGTCTAGCCGTGAGCAGCCTCGCTTATTTGCGCCACCGTTCGGCAACTTTTGTGCTAATTATGGTGGGCATCTGCTGGATCCTCGCTACCATGGTTAGTCTACCTGCGCGCTTTCACGCCAAGCGACAACTCGAAATCCCTAATGTCGTCTACGAGGGCGTCTGCGAGATCAACATGGAAGAGGGCTACACAATCTACTCCAACCTCCTCGCTTTCGACTTGCCGATGGTCTTCATTGTCTTAATGTATGCTCGCATCTATTTTACCGCTCGTCGTCATATTAGGAAAAAACACTTTATCAAGTACCAAACCACTTCGATCACTAAGAAGGGAAACAGCTGCCAATCGGCTGCTTCAGTCGAAGGTTCGGAAGGCCATCGTTATCACTGTTACTGTTGTGGTTACGTCATGGAAACAAAATTCCACAAGGGCAGAACCATGTTTAAAGTGGATACAACCCGGTGTTCAGAAATTCAATGTTCCAGCTCCTCCGACAAAGTGACAGTGACCACGGAGCCCCCCAAAACTATTGTTGCAGCAGCAGTGACGGCGATGCGTATGGCGGCGACAATGATTGGCACAACAAAGGAACCCGAGTTGGGGAACTACGACTTCGAAATCTCAGACAGTGAAGAAACATTCAATGTAAACCCCTTTAACCCTTTAAAGAATTCTAATTTTGACGACGAATCACAAATCCACGAAAGTTTTCAAATGAATTGTCAGCCCTTGACATATGATGTTCTGCGTAGTCTACAGAAGCAAAAAGAGCTGACTTCAAACCGAGAGGTAGTAGCACCTTCATCGGGAAAAGGGATGGTGCGTGAGCTTTCTATCTACACAAATCGTTCCTCCATTCTGTATGCAGATGAAAATTCCAAACCCAATTCCCTTTCCTCTAGCCTGTACTCCTCGATGATACACGCCTCAGACTCGAGGGAGATAGAGAACAGAAACACCACTGAGGAACATCAGCTACGCAACTTTGTGCCCCTATACATTTACAATAAAAAACGAAGGCAACGACGATGGCTAGCACAGGGAAGGATTTTTAATAAGAAGGCTAGTGAGGTTATGAAGAATCTGTCGGTGAGTGAACCAGATTCAGGCATAAGGCCCGAGGAGGAACGCTATGTGCGAGAGCGTCTGGAGCAAAAACGCGAGCGTCGAACGGTGAGAACATTGGCGATAATCACAGGCTGTTTCGTCCTGTGTTGGCTTCCCTTTAACATTAACGCCTTGCTCTCACCGTTCTTTGGACGAATTCATCCCATTGGCACGTCAGTACTGCTCTGGCTAGGATACCTTAATTCCCTCCTCAACCCCATCATTTACACCATCTTTTCAAGGGATTTTCGCAGTGCCTTCCGAAGAATCATTTGTCAAGGTCCACGATTAAGGTGTTTCCATTGAGCAATCTTGTCCTCACAACTCTATTACGTTTCCTTCTCGTCCTCCTTCTCCTAATGCTACAACATGGGCAAAGGCGCTGGAGCGCGTGTGTTCTTTTCCAAGGCAAAAATTGTCCACAACACTACCGTCAATCCTTCTCCATTTCCACGTTCGACTTCTGCACAACTCGTCTTTTTGTAAGCAAAAGAGCCCAATTATCCTGTATTTGATCAATTTTGAGATCTGTGGTTATTTTATCAATAAAACAATCAAAGTGTACTTCCTTTTTCATATGAGATCTTTTAGGATTCACATTGAATGCTGGACAAATTCCTATCCCAAATAGCCCTTCACCGTTACTTTTGCCCTTTTCAATGAGAGATGATTTAATGATTGGCCGCTAAGTTATCGCAAATAATTGTCTTTCCATAAAATTAATGAATCGTGAAGTGAGCGCAGGAAAAAGTAAGACAAGTGACTTGGATAAATAGACAAATACACCTCATTCGTGTTCGGATTGTCGGTAAAACGAGCATAAATTGAAATAAACAAATAGAAGCTAAACCTTTAGGACAGCAAAAGTTAGTCTATTGCGGTTATTCAAATCTTTTTGGAGTTTGGAAAGCCATTGGTAGAGCCTTGCAAGCAAAGCATGCACCGTGGAACCTCTGACGACAACCAAAGAAGAAATGCACTGACAACTGCGAGTCGACGGCATCGACACAAGTACAATTCGGTTCAAATAGTCCGAAAGTGATGAGCTTATATTAGTCCGAACGCCTCTCGTCTAGGGTGAGGAGAGCAAAGCTAGCGAACGGAACACCGTGTTACACGCCTTCTTCCAGTTCTAGTCTTTAAGCACGGGTTTTGGTAATCGTTCGGATTGCGTATCCAATTGAACAGGTCGGGCAAATGCATTCGATTTGGCAAAAATGCTGATGTGAGAATGTAAAGTGGTCATTAAATTGCATTTTAAGGGACGATCGAGTGTTTTAGATTTCGGAGTGAAAGGTTAAGGATTTTATCCGGTTGGATGCATTGGCATCGAGTTTACTCTAAAACTAATAAATATTATTATTATCCTTCCTTTTCTGACGCTTTCGCCATGTGAGTAAGGAAAAAGTAAGAAATTGTAAAAGCATTGCCTTCAATGTTTCTTCGAAACTCCTCCTAAGGCAACACGCAAATGATTTGGAGCGCTTTCAGTCTAATCAAAACCGTTTTAAAGTGATTTGAAGTGCCATAAAAGTTGAAATTCAATTTGTAAGTACAAATGGCTACAAATTCGTCAGCACACTGCTTTGCTCCTCTGGCATGCCGCTTTACACGGAGAAGAGGATTTACGGCGGTGATAACTGGCAGATTTGGCATGAGTGGCACTTTTTAGTGGTATTTCGAAAAATAGTTCGGTAGGTACTACTCTGGATGGATCCTGTTTTCTTCAACGAAACAGCATTCCACGACGCCCATCCACTTCCGCCAAAAAATATTGCGTTGGTCTGCTATTTTGGGCGATCGAAATTTATGAAAAGCCGAAAATTTTGGCCAAATTGTGAGTGGACGAGCAGGAACGGGGCCTATCACGATGAACTGTATGGGCTACGGACTTTGTTGGGGCAGACCCTGTAGAAAAAACAAAAGAAAGTAAGAACTGTGACAACATGACAAAGCCTCGATGTCTCCGATCTGAGGGTTATTACGTTTGGCTCTGGTGATCGCGGTAAACCGAGGCGAGTGAGATGTTTGCTTGCGAATTGTTAAGGGATGGCTCTTGCTCTCTTCCGTATCAATGTGACTTATTTGTTGCAGAATAGATTTGGCAGTTCATCTGGCAAAAAGCTTGTAACTGTATGCATAATGATAAATTGTAAAATGCGATGACAAAATCATTAAGTTATCATTTTATGCGGTATTCATTCCTTAGGAAGCCTGCCGCTGTTGGCCCTTTGAGCTGAATAGGAAAGAAGCTTGATGTAGGGGTGAATGTAGTCCACCCCAACAGCAGTGTTCGCACCCTCAAAAGGTTTCAAGTCTATTGTTCAACGTACAAAAAAAATTCATCAAAAATTTACGAATGCAATTTTTATGTTAAAGATAGAAGATATTATACGGTTTTCAACTCAAAACGAGTAAAAAGCCGCCTTCGTTTGAGAGGTACAAAAGAGCTTTCAAATTCATGCATAATTACAACCCTTCAAAAGCTGTCCATTAGCACACTAATGCCATTCTTTACACTCTTCATCCTAACGTTGGTAAGAATAAATTATACCTTCTTTAGCTCCTAAAACGACAAACTACCTCCATGCGGCACGCCTGCTCCCAACTTTTGACTTTTCCTCCACTTGAATAAATTGCAGACGCAAAAATTTCAGCAGCTGTCCCATGATGGAGTTCAAATGCGGAAATGCCGCTGAGCGCGTCTACTTAAGTAGGTGATTCGCTTTCCCCCACCTTCAGAACCGATCAACTTTGCGTTACCGGAACTTGAAATTACACTGTAAATTTTGGCCCAAATGAATTTTTTTTCAAGCAGTAACATTAAAGCCAAATGCTCGCAACCGCAGTGACAACTCGAATTCTTGCAGTTCCACCTCAACTCAAAGAACAGATAACCGTTTAAAACGAACCAGCATAGCTATTGCGTATGAAGCAGTAGTGTTTCATACTGGAAGTGCTGACTAAAATGATGCGCCACAGTCTTACAAAGAGCAGTTTAGAGCTTCCTCTTCAACCAGTTGTGAGCAATTTGTGTTGTGATTAGCTGAAGACATTAACTGATCCAGCCTTACATCTGTTTGAACCGCTTGCTTATCCAGAAACCCAATCTCTGGAGGCGGGAGGTGCGAATGCCGTATTGGCTCATACAACGCTAAATGAGAATGAAAATGGCAGTTATTGGCCGAGTTGCCTTGAGAAGCGCGATTTTACCTAATCATACATTTCATGTTTAATGTTTGGAGGCATCAGTGTTGAATGAGGCTGCGGTGGTCTGTGAGTTGTGTAAAGTCAACTATTTTCCTTAGGTCTTATAAACTACCCATCTAAGGTCCAAATTTGGTGGAAGTCCGCACCAAAGAATTGGCGAATAAAACTCCATTCTGCTTTATTTTGTCCTCCTTGCTTTTGGACTCCTCATCTCAGCCTTATGGTTCTCGATGTAATTTCGATGTGCCAGCTGTTCGTCAGCTTGAAGCTTTATCTTTGCATTATGGTTGGTAAGACAAATTTAAAGAAAAAGTGAAAGCACAAAAAGTATGACAAAAAATTTCTTGTGGGAGAGAAGAAATTTTTAACTTGCTTATTTTTAACGTTTGGTGAGTGTCAAATTGAAGAACTAACGAATACTTATTGTCACAATTGACACCACTTTGGCACCCCAGCATACCAACACGCATGACACTCAGGTTTATCCTGAGCATTCAGTCGGAAAAAATTACGTATAAATACGAATTGGACGAAACCTATACATCTAGGCAAGAATTATTCATCACCTACGTCTTTGTGCACATCCCAGCACCTCTTTTTTATATACCTGATGGGATTTAGCTAAGCCTTATTCTTAATGAACACAATTTTAGGGGATCAAATCACTAATCCTTCCAATTACCACATTTGAGCAGTTTATGGCCTTTGATTGGCAGTAGACCGTGCCAGTTGGCCGGCACACTTCGGCCAAACACTTGGCGTAGCTTACATTCGTTTTTTTTTATTAAACAAACAAAGCGACAGCATTTGCGTCGTGATCGATGTAATTGAGGGTCAGGGACTGGAAGTTAGCTCTTTTGACCCTACGAATGAGGGTTGAAAAGCCTTTGAAGATACTGCTTCCTCAAAGAGGTCATTCCGACGAGCTGACTCACAATACTTGAATGGTAGGCAAATCACTTAGGCCTCTGCCAGTGAATTCCCTTTAACCAGCCTGGCCGTGTTCCTGGCCGCAAGCCCTACTCTACGCTAAAGGTGTATATTGTCTTGTCCGAGTTTCATGTCTTCCCTCGTCTTCGGAGGAGTTTTAGGGAACTTTTATAAAACATTAAAATTGCATATTCAAACACTAACATTGACTCATACACACGATCATTCGCAAGCGTGGGAGTATTATTTCCATTACTGGAACAATTAATTAAACTACTCCACTCCTCAACTGTTTGCTCGTCCAGTTGTGGAGATAGAAATGCGGTTACTCGCTCCACTGAGGCCAGTTAGGTTAAGATGTTCGGAGCAATCTTTGAAGTGTGAATGAGCAAGGCATACAATGACAACTGAGGTTCTAGTGGCACATACCCACTTTTACAGTAGCCTATTTTGTAAGGGCTTAATTGGGTTTAAAACGTCAAGTAAATGTTAACAAGATAGGCATGCACATACCTCAAAACTTAGCTCATTAGATCACAATGCGTGCAATGTGGCGAAACAAACCGATTAGCGTTTATAATTGCGCGTGCATTATACCGAAGGTGGTATCAACCTCCCAGTGTATGCTGTACGAACCTCTGCAATTGATAAATTTTCTCCGTATATGCACTGAATCTCTACAGATGTTTGTAATATTGCTAAAGGAAATTCATATTGTTTACGATAGCACCGTTTGCGGAACCTTAACCGAACCCTATTTCTTATGAGCCTTCCATTTTCGATCGCCCCGGCCAGTGATTTGGACATATCGGTACGCAGACCAGCTGCCAATGCATGTAGAGCCATTCAAACAATTGTTCGTACAAGTCATTTCTGTCAAGTTCCTTCTAAGTGCACAGTTGGTTTATTTCCAGCAAGACCTTGGCCTGTGGCAAAATAATTTTGATGATTGGTTTTTTATATATATTTTACAACCAGAATAGTTCCTCGATGGTGGCAAAATGCATTGATACAACGAAAATGTCGTCGCGTAGAGTAAAAACACTACACTGAAGACGAATGAATGCACAAGCATTGAACTGCTGCTAGCGTGAGAATGGACTGCGAGACCACCACCACTGGGAAGAGGCTCGAACAACTTTGACCTTCAGCATCCTCGTACCTAAGATGGGATGCTAAACAAAGTACTACAGTCATCTCCCCATTCTAGTTAACTGTAACATTCCAAAAGCCGTTGGCTCGTCAACTTCTAGCACAGGACGCAAATATACGAAATTGAAACTTATATTTATGGAACTAAAACAAATGTGTTAATCACTGCAATGGAAAGGCAATTAGACGGTTTAACTGCTTTAGGAGTGCCAGACGGAATGAGTGAACCAGGCATCTACAGGGACGTTCAGAATATCAATGAATGTAATTTTTTTACATTGATTTTGGAATGATTCACTGGTCTGATGCCTTGTTTGTCATAATTGCTTTGTGACTGCCATTTTGGTGGCAGACTGCATAGAGCCTTGCCACCGTGCCTCCAGCCAGTGGCCAGGCCCCAGTGGTATGCCATCCGCCGACTTAAAAGTAGTTTGCTCCTATTATAAAGTCACCCAGGCAAGAATAACTTTATTTGTTTGTCTCTGACAGCCAGAGAAGGCGTTACGAATCCATCCCAGACTGTCCGATATTCTCCTTCATTAAACTAACAGAAGTCCTCATTTCTCACTCTACAGCCAATGCTACTTGAGTAACATTGCATTAACTGTTTAGAACACACTAAAAACTGCTAATTCTTAAATAATAAATGAATGCTTAAAGGTAGTTTTGTAGATTTGGGTTGACTTGTGCGAAAAATTCAAGCAAAGCTTAGAAGTAAAGTGCAATCAAATCATCGCACCTACGAGACGGAGGGGCGTTTTGCGATCGATATGAGGCGTTTGAATAATCACATTTGTCCTCCACTTTCCCACTTTAACGACCCAACTCCCCAAACCCGAGTACCATTGAGTGAGGAGAGGACTCATCAATGAATCCACCCAACAATATTATTAAGCAATTCAAAACTCCTCTCGCTCGTTCACGTTCAGCTTTCCCCGTTGCGCGGATGCCAACGATGACGAGGAAGAGAATCTGCGAACGCGGGCATTCTATTAATGGTGCGGTGGGTGAGGTGGATGACATCAACCCAAAAAGTGCTGCTAATAAGCATGTCGTCGGTGGCAAACAGTTTGGAGAGGACGAATTGAAAGCTAAAAGTAATCACAAAACACTGCTAGCTGATGTGTTAAAGTCGGATGTTAGTGTGGACGAGATGAAAAAGTTTCAGCGAAACGTTATCTACGCCCTTAATCGACTCATGAAAGAAGCAGAAATGGAGAAAGAAAAGAGTTTTCAAGGAAAAAATGAACTTTCTGTTTAACCAAAAGTTAGCATAACTGTTGAATCCAAATTTGCATGTAATGTGGGATATGTGGTTTACGAGTTGCATTTAAAACGAATTTGATGATGTTTAAACGTGAGATACTGTTCTTTTTACGTGCACTAATCCTTTTCCTGGAAGCCTTTGCATGTGGATTTTTTGTCAACTTCCGGCCAATGAGAGTTAATGGCATTTTCGTGTGAAATTTTGTCATTCGCATCGTACCTTGGTTTTAATTCTTAGCCGCGTCTGAGCTTGTTGTGCATTTGCCTTGCTTGTAAAAAAGGAAAAGTTGTTAATCTTACTTCATGGACTGTGACGATTTCTGTAGGACTTTAAGACTCACTTACCTACAAAGAAGGCATAAGGATCGAGGCTATGGACTTGACCCAGAAGACGTGTTCGTCAATAAAAATACGATACGCCACTTACCCTTGAAATTCTAAGGATGTTAAAGTTCCTTCTTTCAGTGAACTTGTAATGAGGAACAATCAGTAGATTCCATTGCTAATCACAGAAACACTGGTTTAGAAGCAGCCATGTAAAAAAAGGGATTTAGCACGGAATCTAGGAGTTTGGTCTTATTTGTCACAATTTTCCAACTTCCAGTCCGCCGAATCATGTCTCCCTGGATCGTGTACAGCTAGTGAAGAAGTGGAGTAGATACCGTCAGCTCTTCCAGTTAGAATCCTCTTATAGGAGCAGCACGGAGCTCCGTAAAGAAC